AGAGAAGGTGGCCCCACAGAAGCCACGAGAAGAGTGTGTTGAGGAAGCAGGAGTCCATGTCAGAGACTGCTGAGACACCGACTTAAAGTGAAGACAAAATCAGTTGGAGGACTCAGCCGTCTCACTGGAAACTAGCTTTGGGCAGCAGGCTGGAGTTGCTGTAGAAGGCAGAGAGATGGCTTGCGCAGGTGAATACGTTTCCTAGGCAACACGATGTTCCCAGCAACTCAGGATTTCAAATACATTAAAGAGGGAAGAAAAACAGGCCAAATGAATGTGATTAAGCAGCTCCTATCTGAAAGCGTGTATGTTCTCACGAAATATGTAGTATTTACTCGTGAATGAGGATTCTGTTGAACACTTAGTATACCATTCACAGAGAATTTTCCTCCTGATTACAGTTGATTTCATGTTGTTTAAGAAGTCGATCAAGGACAGCACTGAATTCTGTTAGTGGGTAAACTGACCTTAGAAGCCTTGAGGGCCCCTCTGAAATCTCATCATCTGGAGTAAATTCCCCTTTCTCCTCCGCCCAGCTCAAAGTTAGATATTTTTGCCCTTCGTATTCAATAACTGTTCAGATTCTGTTCAAAGTCCCTTTGAAGTAACTCCGATTTCTCTTTCCCTCCTTTCCGGTGCCATTCTCCTCACTGAGGGCCAGCCTTATTGACCTCTTTAACTAGAAAAGTCTTCCCTGATCCCTTATTTCCAGTCACATCGAATGGCCAACTGAGCCATCAGATCCAGCTCCCTCCTACTTTTCCAGCGGTTGCCTGACATTCCCTAACACATGCTTTCTGCTCGAGGAAGGCCAGCCTCCCTCTTGTTCTTCCAGTCTTGCCATGTGGCCCTGCCTTCATGCCAAAATTCCTGTGGAGTTCACCTTAGTCTACAGGTAGCGGTTCATTTTCTGTAGTATCAGCTGATGTGCACACCCCCCGCCCTCCTCCTCCAGGGTCACACTTCCCTGCACGGTCGTGCCCATACACCTCAACTTCCTGTTGTGGCTTATCTTTTGTATAAATGACGGGCAAATTAATGGAACTATTCTTTTTTTAAGTGTTCCAGAATTCCAGTACGAAAGACTGTTGTCCTCCAAAGGCATTCACATCTTTCTTCTCCATGACTACTCATTATTAATTCAAACACATTCTAGGACGCCTGGCTGGCTTAGTGGGGAGAGCATGCAACTCTTGATCTCAGGGTTGTGAATTTGTGCCCCATGTTGGGTGTAGAGATTACTAAAAAATAAATAAACTTAAAAAAAAAAACACTTTTAGAACCTTGTTTCATTCAGAAGCCTGTGAAAATACCTGGCCCATTCAATAAATATCTTTAAACTTCTTAAAGAAATTGAGGTGTTGTTTTGAGAGAAGGAGAGAGAGAGAGAGAGAGAGAGAGTGAGTGTGTGTGTATGTGTGTGTGTGTGTGTGTGTGTGTGTGAGCAGTGGGTGAGGGAGAGGGAGAGAATCTTCAGCAGGCTCCACACCCAGCGGAAGCCAATGCGGGGCTTGATCTCACGACCCTGAGATCATGAGCCGAAATCAAGAGTCAGACGCTCAACCGACTGAGCCACCCAGGTGCCCCAAGAAATTGAGTTTTAACAATCAATCATTGTTAAGGTGTTTTAAGTATTTTGGAAGTTCTGAAGAAAAAAAACAAATCTGAACAGAGCAAAGACCAAAATGTCAGTGTTGGAGATGGGGTATTAAGAATGGCTTCCTGGAGGAGCTGAGGCTGGGGCTTTTGAAAAGAGTGAGAGTCTGCTGAGCAGACAGGGGAAGAGGAGACTGGTTGGGGAGAGGGTATTCTAGGCAGAATAGACCCCGTGGCCAAACCATGAACTGTAACAAACCTTGGGAACTCTACGTAGCCCATTAATGTAGAGCAGGAGTGAGTGAGGCAGAGACACAGGGAAGAGGGACAGGTTGGGTTTGACAGGTCTCGGAGTCGTGGGACTTGGTGTTCTGTTTCGAACCTCACTGGAAGGGGTGTGCTGTGACTATCTTTGCCAGGACATTTCATGCCTTTATTATCTTACATGTTGTATTGTTATTATTTATTTGCTCTACTTCCCTGCTCTTTGTTCATTTCTTAATTCCCAGAGTCAGGCCCCGTTTCTGGCACACAGTAGATACTGAATAAATGTTTGGCGAATGCATTATGAAAGTTTGTCATAAAAGCTTTGCACAGAGAAGGCATAAAAATGCCTTCCTTATGGGCGCCTGGGTGGCTCAGTTGGTTAACCAACTGCCTTTGACTCAGGTCATGATCCTGGAGTCCCAGGATGCAGTCCCCCATAGGGCTTCTGGCTCCATGGGGAGTCTGCTTCTCACTCTGATTCTCCCCTCTCATGCTCTCTCTCTCTCAAATAAATAAATAAAATCTTTTTAAAAAAATGCCTTCCTTGTTTTTTTGTTAGAGTTGGCATCACCTTATTTGTCATGGAGGATAATTACAGTAGTTCTTTACAGAAGCATACCAGGCAGGTGACTACATTACTTTAGTGCTAAGTTCTTAACCTGAGGCTTTTCCCAAAGCAAACTGGACTATCCGGTTGTTGTTAAAGTGATACTGGCACCATCTAGCGGTAATTTTAAGCCTTACCCAAATTGAAAGCTTCATTTGTGATAACCAGTTTCAAACAAGTTTGTAACATTTTATAAATTACCGAAGTACTGTATTTAATACTATATTTTTTTGACCCTTTGCCACTCTCTTCACATGAATAGTTATACATTTGGTGGTTTTATATAGCTATTTTAATTGTGTTTTACAAACATGATGTCTAGAAGCTTTGATAAGCAGAATATCCTATTTGAAATAAAATGGAATTTCATAATTAGGCAGACATGGAGTCTTAGACCAGCATTCTGATCTCAGATGCTATGTGCTGTGTGTTAGTTCACAGAGTTGTGAGGTAATCTTTTTTTCCTAACATCCTTATTTTATTTTATTTTTCCTGTTTGGACAGTGTCTCTAAAACTAAAGAATCATGTCCTTTTAATTCTTATCCTTGAAGACAGCTGTTGAGTGTGTCCTCCAAGTTTGTAGGTTAAGCCAGAAGGGCCTGGGTGGTGAATGTTAGCTTTTTATTATTTTTGTGGGTGTTTGAACATGAGTTACATGGACATTTTGCTTGTGACTTGTCATTTGTTGATTAACAGCTGAGGCTGAGAAGCAGATTATGATCACTGAATTAATTCCTCATGTGTAGGGATTGCTGTGATTTAAGTAACAATGTCAATATAAAATAAAAGCATTTATTAAAAATTTTTCATGCAGGGCATAATTGGAAACATAAGATTAATTGCCCCCCCCCTTTTTTTTAAGTACTTACTCAATGCCAAAGGGAGGGAGGGGTATAATTATCTCCATTTTACAGATGAATCTGAAACATATGGAGGCAAAGTAGTTTTCTCAAGGTCTCACAGCTATTATATTTGCAGCGTGAGCCTTCAGACCCAGATGTAGAGGACCCCAGAGTCCAGGCTTTTAACCACCATGTAAACACTGCATCCAGTGAGGGAGGATTCACAGGAAAACCACTGTAGAAAAATGCACAAGACAACCTTAAAGTGGTTATTAATAGCTTTTACTTAAATGTACATGACTTAATAAAAATCTTGGCTTTAATTTCTTGTTGACATTATCAGCATCTGTTTGTTTCCACTCCGAATTATAGCCAGCAGCCTTCATTCCATTGTGAAGAAAGTTGAAATTTCTTGCCTTGTGCTCCCAGAGAATTAGTTCTTTCCCAGCTGCACTGGTCCTAGGCAAGAGTGCTTCCAGGCACGGTCGCTCTCTGTCGGCGAGCACTTTGCCCGACTCGCCACTCCCTTCGTTCTCAGATACGAACTCTGTGTCTACCTGTGCCTGTCAGCAGGGGCGGGTGTTCGTGTAGAAACCTCCATTTGAGTGTTGGCCTGGTTCACGGATGTCTGTATGTGTGAGTTAATGTATAAATAGTGAATAGATATGGGGCTTCTAAGTTTTATATTTAAATTTTTTCTTTGTAAACATAGACACACAATTCTGTGCGGTTGCAATCATATCATGTATGCCAGGTTGTGTTTTGTTTCTGTTGTTTTGATTTACTCCTTTTTCCTTTGTTCCTCTGGCTTCCTTCCATCCACCCACGTGACTTTCCTCCTCATCCCCCTGTTGTATGTGTAAAAGGGTACATAAAACATCACAAGTAGTCTCCCCTGTTTTTCCATGCTTGTGTCATCATTTATCAAATACATTCACGTGTAGTTAGACATCTAAATCATCTATGGGGCACTGTTCTAGCATTTTATGGTAAAAAGGTGCGATCATATTATAAATACTTGAAAAAATACACTACCTTTCAACCAGCTATCCCACAGAAATAAAAGCACTGATTCATAAGATTATGTTTCAAGAGTATTTTCTACATTATTATTCATAATATCCTATTTGAATAATAGCAGGAAGGAAAGGGGTTGATTGAATGAAGAATGATAATCTACACTGTGAAATTTTAGGCAGTCATTTAAAATCATAAATTTGATGTGTGCTGGAACCATCTCTTCTACCGTTCTCTCTGTTACGCATTTTAGTGTTCTTATTCCTTTATTGACATTTTAGTGTGGTTTCAAGAGGAAGAAAAAAAGAAATGTATTTGGGCAGTTTTCTTTATCATTGCAAATCTGGCTAAGTAGATTCCAAGACCTGCTTTAACTTCTGTTTCTTTTCTGACGAGAGCTCTTCTGTAGAGCCCCTTCTGATCCTTTCGTATTTGGAAATAGGGAACATCCAGCCTCCCCCAAATTAAATTCTTGCTTCTTTCTTGGCTTTTAACTCCTACTGATCTTTCCCACCAGCAGCATCTGAAGGGGCAAAGCCTTAAGCTTTGTCTCTAAAATTAATTCAAGAATCAATGAAATGTCAGTTCAGAAACTGTTCCTGGGACACCTAGGAAAGACAACATTTCTCTATAACCGACCCACTCCTCCGCTTCTTTTGCTTCCTTACAGATTTGAAAAAGGGCGCATCTACACATTCATTGGAGAAGTCGTTGTTTCTGTGAATCCTTACAAGCCGTTGAACATCTACGGGAGAGACACGATCGAGCAGTATAAAGGACGGGAGCTGTACGAGAGACCTCCTCATCTTTTTGCAATTGCGGATGCTGCTTACAAAGCTATGAAGAGACGCGCCAAAGACACTTGTATTGTGATATCAGGTATTCAGAGAGGATCCCTGTGCTTTCAAGGTCAAAATGCACTTCACTTACTAGGTGCTCAAGGATCCAAACTGCTCAATAGATTTTTTTTTTTTTTTTTTGAAGTTAGAAACCTACGCAATTTTATAGGAGGAAAAAAATTGCAGCAAACACCAAATCATTCCTGACCAATGCCTCATCTTGGTTCATTTCCAAATCCATGTTACATGTGGATGGACTTTCTGGTCATGAAAGATTCTTCCTCCCATCTCAATGACATAAAAGTACTGGATAAAATGTAACAAAGATTTTTTTTTAATATTTTATTTATTTATTTGTCAGATAGAGAGTGAGAATGAGTGAGCACAAGCAGGGGGAGCAGCAGGCAGAGGGAGAAGCAGGCTCCCCGCTGAGCAGGGAGCCCGATGCAGAACTCGATCCCAGGACCCCAGGATCATGACCTGAGTTGAAGGCAGATGCTCAACTGACTGAGCCACCCAGGCATCCCAACAAAGATTATTTTAAATCATAACAGAATGAAAGGAAGAAAATGAAATCCTGAGGTACAAGTCAAAGGGAGTTAGTGTCAAAGGGCGTAACAGGCATGGGGACCAGAACTGGGCCGTCCTGGCTGGAGGCTGGAGCTTCAAAGTCTGAGGAGCAGGAAGGTGGTAGACCTTGTTGGAGCTGAGCTCTTCCCGGAATCTCGGGTTGTGTGAATTGAGGATCTGGAAAATATCTGCGTGCTGGCACAGGACGCCCTCGCCCACGCTGTGGGGATTTATTTTGGTCATAATAATACCTCACATCTGCATTAAGGTCTTTATACTTTCAAAACTGCTTTTATGACTTTATTTCATTTTGGTTATCAAAACAGTTCTGAGTGCTAAGACAGTGTGTTTCTACTTTTTAGATGAGAATATTAAGGGTTGGAGGAGTTACAGTAACAGTGTTGGAGAATTATATCCTAGGACTACATTATATTCAATTAATGAAAGCAATATTACCTGAGTATAAAAGGAAGGAGGGAATAAACAATCCTTTAAGCATATAAAGTAAAAGCAGAATGTCCCTCCCCTTTGAATATCTTGTTACCCCCCAAAACCCCAATAGTAATAGCTGTGAATTTAGTATTTATCCTTTTTATACATTTTTCTGTGTATAATACATATAGTCGTACATGCATATTAAATTATAAACTCTTAATTTTGTTACAGAATTATAGCTGCTATTATTCGACTTGTTTTTCTGTTTAACAGTATGGAATGGGACATCTTTTCATTAGCACAGCTAGAGACGTGGGGGCTCCCTGACAGCTGTGTGCTGAATCCTCCTCCTGCCTGGTCCTCTACCAGCGGCCACATTATTTGTCGAGTTTGGCAGCGACGCATAGTATAGTCTGCAGAAAAGCTCCTTAAGTCTTTGAAGCTCAGTGTTGTTCTTATTATTTGATCCCATTAGTATTTTTAGTATTTCTGTAGTATAGATTTCTGCAAGTGGAATTTGGGGGTTGGAAGGCATTCCCACTTAAAAATGTGGGTAGCTCATTCTGAACCGATCTCTTCCACCCGTCTTATACCAGTCATCCTGCCTTTTCTGTGACACCATGCCTGGAACTCGCTGTTGCGTTTTGCTATGTTTTCACTAAAATGACGCTTGACTTTAATTTTTGAAAGGAATATTTCATCCTCATTAAGATTAAAAGAAATTATGCTGTAGAGCACAAGGGTACATGAATTAAGCCATGGCTCGTGTTTGAGGCACTGGCTTGTTTGTTTTCTGCTATGCTTCAGAGTCACGGCCAAACACCAACACTCCGGTGTAAGGAGTTCACTTACCCCATTTTGTCCCTTGATATTTTCTATGCAATCCATCTTAACTTGGAATCTATTTGTTATTTTACTTCCATAATGGTTTTGCTTCTTTTCTCAGCATTTTCAGAGCTGTTAAGACCTAGACAGTACCAAGACAGGAAGATTTTAACTCAAAAAAAAAAAGAAAAGAAAAGAAAGAAATATAAAGAATTTTAAATAAATAACCTCAGAATTTGCAATTATTCTATTAAATGATCATTGCAATTAGTGCAATTATTCTGTGAAGAATTGCAGTTACTCTACTAGAAACCAGCTTACTGTTGGTCTCAGTGACCGTGTTAAGCCTTGTACAACTATTCCCACAGGGGAGAGTGGAGCTGGGAAAACTGAAGCAAGTAAATACATCATGCACTACATAGCGGCCATCACCAACCCCAGCCAGAGAGCCGAGGTGGAAAGGTAAGCGTGTTGTGAAAATGGGGACACATTCTCATCGGGGCTTTGTTTTCCATACAGACTTGCCTGGGCCATCGGTTTTTATATTTGCTTCTTCATAGAGAAATACTGCTTTGGTAAGCTTTACGTAAATAGGAAACAAAGTAACACTGCAACAGATGTAAGTCCCTGCCCCGTAACTGCCACCTTCAGTGTTGCAGGTGCTCAGCCGAGGCGGTTCAGGGGATGCTGGTAGATGCCACTGTTCCAGTTGCTTTTTGTACTGTACTGGTGTCTTTTTTACACTGTCTTCTGAGGAGCCCAAGGCTCCCTGGAGGGAAAGGGGGCTCTGGGAGGCAGATCTGTGCCATCCCTGCATTGCATTGTCACAGCTGGAAGCCCTGATATTAGAATCGCTAAGAATGATTCCTTTCTCTCTTTAAGTTTCACGCTGCTGTCAGCATAAGATAAGGATGAGGGCTGCTGGGCACTGTCTGTAGGACCCGGCTGCTAGCACAGAACGCCCCGTAGTATTTTCTTATCCATTCGTAAGGAACGAATGGATGGATTTTTTTTTTTTTTAAGATTTTATTTATTTATTTGACAGAGAGAAAGAGAGGTCACAAGTAGGCAGAGAGGCAGGCAGAGAGAGAGGGGGAAGTAGGCTCACTGCTGAGCAGAGAGCCCGATGCGGGACTCATTTCTGGGACCCTGATATCATGACCTGAGCCGAAGGCAGAGGCTTTAACCCACTGAGCCACCTAGGCGCCCCATGACTTCAGTTTCTTATATGGTGTGCACTTTTTGGGAGAAAAAGAGTTTTCCAGAGTTGCTAGTGTGAAGCTCAGTGTTTATTTTCCGGAGTCTCCCTCCGCATGCACATCTCAGCCTTCATTTTATGACTAGGAAAGAAAGGATATGGGTATGAAAGAAGGTGATATAGATGAGAATTACCCTACCGGGGCTTTCCTCATTTCTGCATAACTGGGCTGGTGGTCAAAGAGGCATTTTTCTTGACTATGACACATCCCCACTTCTGATTCTGACTTTACAGTCTCCTGTGACAGGGACACGAATAGGAGTCAGTTATCTGAATTTCCGCAGATGCTCAGGAGAACTGACTTGATTTTATTTCTAAACCCAGTTGGTATTGTAGAGTCAGGCATGTGTACAATGTCAAGTGTTTCGTGGGCATATCTTACTGTAGTTTTAAAGATGGTCATCTTTGTTTACCATAGCGTGCAATCCTTCCTCCCCACATTTTAAAAGTATACTTTCATGTGGGAGGAGAGAAGCTGGGGTGGTGATGGGGTCACTTATAGTCAGAGTGGATCTGTTACATCAGCTTACTTTAGTGGCCAAAGTGATTTCTGCAGGTGGGCCCACACAAGAAGTTTTGCCAGGGAAATAAAAAAGACTTAAGGGTCAGCATCAAGTTAAAAAGTATCTGGTGGGAGACACTGTGCTGTAGAAAGTTAGCGTTCACCAAATAAGGAATGAATGTGTCACCTTTCTTTTCAGAACACATCTTTTTAAGATTTTTCTTTATGTCAGTAAAACATGTTCACTTAAAAACTAAAAATTAGGAGCGCCTGGGTGGCTCAGTGGGTTAAGCCTTTGCCTTTGGCTCAGGACATGATCTCAGAGTCCTGGGATCGAGTCCCACATCAGGATCTCTGCTCAGCAGGGAGCCTGCTCCCCTCTCCCCGGCCTGCCTCTCTGTCAAATAAATAAAATCTTTAAAAAAAAAAAAACAAAAACACTAAAAACTAAAAATTATAGCATTTTGTCCAAGGCAGAAGTCCCCCGAAATCCCACTCCACAGAATCCTACCCCATCAAGCTAGACCCCTGTAGTGAAATGCACTGGTCTTTCCGGATTTTTAAGCATTTACTAACCTGTGTGCCTGCACACGTGCACTCATGTGGACACATTCACAGACCCCTAAAGACCCCTCAACACATACTATTTTGCAACCTGCTTTCTCATTCTTCAGTGTATTCTGGACCTCTTTCTCTGTCGGTGCATCCTATACTAGAAAAAAAAGGTTTTTTATCCAGCCCTACTGGTGGACATTTAGGGCTTGTTTGTTTTAATACTGCGAACAATGCTACGGTCAGCATCTTTGTGTAAGTGTTTGGGTGCACTTTAACAAAAGCTAGTTTTTCTAAAAGGTGCAAGCCTCGAGAACTTTCTATACTGACTTTCATTTCTCTGTTAAAGAGTGAAGAACATGTTGCTTAAGTCCAACTGTGTCTTGGAAGCTTTCGGAAATGCCAAAACCAATCGCAACGACAACTCAAGCAGGTTTGGAAAATACATGGACATCAACTTTGATTTCAAGGGCGACCCTATCGGTGGACATATCAACAACTACTTACTGGAGAAGGTAAAATGTGCTTCATTTCTGAGGGTAATGTTCTCAAGTGCTGACTTTTTTTTAAACCTAATCATGTTTATAGAATTTTTAAAAACTTAGTTAAAAGTAGCTTTTAATCCTGTTCTGCCTCCCTTCCCCCTCCTCAGTTCACTTTCTGGGACAGGTTACTCTCCTTTTGTGCTCTTCTTAGCTCCTACCGTATCAGGTTGGGAAAAGTTTGGGCTTTGTAGATAAGGATTTAGGTGCGTGTGTGGTAGGGGTGGGAGTAGTATGGGAATGTATGCCAACTTCTGGATAAGATTTAACCAAAACTGGGGCACCTGGGTGGCTTGGTCAGTTAAGTGTCTGCCTTCAACTCAGGTCATGATCGGAGGGTTCTGGGATCGAGTCCCACAACGGGCTTCTTGCTTGGCAGGGAGCCTGCTTCTCCCTCTGCCTGGTTTCTACCCCTGCTTTGTGTTCTCTCTCTCTGACAAATATATTAATAAAATCTTTAAGAAAAAAAAATTAACCAAAACAGATTCTAGGACTAATTAATCAGTTCTACTTTTTTGACACACCACCATTGCTTGCTGCTGTTAATTGTCCTGAACACATCACGGAAGAGCTAGCCCACCCATTCCACTCTTTTCACAGAATCATGCCCATTCAACTCTCTTTTTTTAACCGAGATATGATTGACATTTAACACCATAAACATTTAAGGCGTACAGCATATTGATTTGATACTTCTGTGTACATTTATTTTAACTTGAATCTCATTTTCTTCTAGCTTCTATTTGTTCATAGCATCCTTTATGGCAGTGTACCAGAGCATAAACTATTTTTGTTTATTAAATTGAAATCAGGCCGTTAAGGAAATACCTGTATTTATCAGTGTCAGTTACAAAAGGACTGGAAATGCCAGGTAACATCAGTCTTTTTCCAGAATGTTTTATGGCTTCACTTTATGTGCAGAGCCCATTAGAGGCCTCCTCTGAAAGAATGTGCATTGTGAGGCCTCTGAGAGCAGGCTTTGGGGGCCATCTGAGGCAGGGGCTTCAACTGATTTTACTACAGGACACAAGACATTGCTCTTTGAAATGCCAGCAGACCCCAGGAACCCTAAACAGCCCTTCCTGTTCTCCCACTTCCAATCCTCTTCCTCCTAAAAACCCCATCTTTAGGCTCCAGGTTTAAAAAAAAAAAAAAAAAAATCTTCATTTTTATAAAGTTTAGGGAATTCTGTTTTAAGTAGTAAAAAGAATATTAAAAATAGCACAGAAACCCCTGCAGAGGAGGCCTAGTTTTAGGTGGGTAATCCTTGGGGTCTTCAGAACATTTGAATGCACTGTTAATACACAATTTCCTGAGAACTTGGCTTGCGCTTTGTTTCCAGGGTGCATTCTCAGATTAACGATTTAATGTGATTTTCTTTTCTTTTTTCTTTTTTTTTTTTTTAAGTCTCGAGTGATTGTGCAACAGCCAGGAGAGAGAAGCTTTCATTCTTTTTATCAGGTTAGTATCTCTTGTTGTGCAGGTAATCCATCTTTGGCTCAATTGTAACGGGAATGAGTATTTTATGTCAGGACACTCCCTTGTCCTGTGCCTCCTTTGCCTCCATTGGCCCAGGACACATTACACATGAGTGCGTGCATACACACACCCTCGCCCACATGCTGCTTCTGAGATTTGATGACCGTGATCCTTATAAAGAAGCATCAGGTGGTTAACCCACCAGAGGAGTTGACTGCCTTGGCTGAGCATCACCTCCATTTTTTTGCAATGTAGAGAACAGTTTAATATCTGTAAAAGCTTTTGAAATGATAAATTCTGAATATGTTAAGTTAATTGTGTTTTATTTTGAATCGAAGCTGTTGTTCCCATTATCTGGGAGCCCAGAGACAGGAATACAACTCGAGTTTACTTTGCTCCTGGAGGCTATAAGGCAATGTGATTACTTAATTATGAATTCAAGGGAGAAATGTCTTCTTTACCCATCAAAGCTGTGATTGCTAAGAAAGAAATTTGATACCTCTTTTGAGAATGCTTTTGAAGTCAAAGGCAGACTTTTTAAAAGTAGCCCTTCTGTTAGCAAGTCTATGCTCAGAGGTAGGGTACATAATTACAATTTTTAAAGCCCTGAAAAACATAAGCCAGTGCTGACAAATAAAGTGGGTGATCCAATGTAGCATTGCTGTTTGGGACTTTTTTAAAAGTAAAACCCTAAGTAAGATTGATTTCCATGTGGAAAACGTCTCTGCAGGGGATGGAGCAGTGACCGTGTAAGTTGAACACAGTACAGCTCAGCTGAGTTCCATTTTCTCTAGGTAACTGCTGCAATAGACAGTGCTCATTTGTATATATGAGTTCTGGTATATTTAAATGATCACTTTCAAAAATCTGATAATTGCACCTTTGAAGTAAGACAAAGCATACAGCTGAATGTAGAGAATTGAAACTGACTGCCTTCCAAAGGCGTGTTCTGTAGGTAAGGGCTACCCATGTTATATTCGTGTTCTCGTTGACAGTTCACCATGTTTCCCTTAAACTAGTTTTCTGCCAAATATGAAATAGTTCTTTTCCTATCCAGAACTCGTAAGTTCTTCCCAATGTATTCCCCACTTGGATGAGTGTTAAAATTTGTCTTTGTTCAACCCTTCAGTGGTGGATAACCAGCGGTGCTCCCCCCCTCCCTCCACCCCCCATAGAGAGATTGATGAAGGAAGGCTATTTGTTTCCAGTGTGACTCAGCATGTGACCCTGGGCTGATACCTCTAACTTCAGCAGCGCCTTGACTTTTTCTGAATTCTGAAACACAGCCCTATCTTGTCTGGATAATGAGGCAGCTAAGCAAGTGACCACAGTGCATAGGCTCCTGTTTAATAAATGACCAAGTGAAAGCGAGATTATCATTGTGAGAATACTTGATGTACTTGGCTCCATGTATATTTTGCCAGTTCATATTTTAATTAAATACCTTTTCAGCTACTCCAAGGAGGTTCAGAGCAGATGCTACGCTCTCTACATCTCCAGAAATCCCTGTCATCCTACAACTATATCCACGTAGGCGCTCAATTAAAGGTAAGGGCTTCCTCTCTGAGATATGCAGTCAGACAAAAAACCAGAGGGGACATTAAGTAATTCTCTGGTCCAGCCTGCTGCCTTTAAGCAAATGAGTGACTCTTTTCTTCCATTCTGGTGTTTAAATTGTCAGGGACAGAGACTCGCTGCATTACTGTCAACAACTTCACTTAATAACTGTTTCTGTGTTTCATTGCAATCTGACAGGAAAGAAGTTTCTCTTGTGATCTTGTGGTTGTTTGTTTTTTGTTTGTTTTGTTTTGTTTTTTTCCAATTTTTAATCCTAATTCTTTTGGCACTGTAAAAACATTGGTGTGACTAGGAAATCCACTTCAGAGGAAGATGCTGTGTGGTTTGGCCACAGGCGAGTTGGGAAGCAGAAGGAGCTTTAAAAGCACCCTGGTTGAAATTCAGTATTAAAGATCTCCATTTGCTGTTTTTTCAAGTATTGATTTTGATCTATCCTGGAGATAGTTTTGTGACCCTGGAGCATTTCTATTCAGCCCTCAAATTTTTCTACTTTTTTCCCTTCACTTGCATGCGGGCCTTTTGCACTCCCATATGCAGATGCTTTTCTGCTCTTTTCTTTCTAATTAGTGTTCTGCTAGTCACCTTACAGCTAATCCTAATAATATAGTAGTCTGTTGATGGTAGACTATAAAATGGTAATTATAATATTATCCTGCTTTGTCAGAGAAAGGTATATAAATACATAAAATAAAATATGGAGGGAAATAGACCAAGGTTTTAATTACTGATTCTGAATGGATGAGATTACAGGTATCCGTGCCCTTGTACTTTTCCATGTTTTAAATTTCTTCTGTAATAAAAAATAAAAAATACATTGCTTTTGTAGTCAGGGGAGAAATAAAAAGAATTTGTAAAAGGAAAGAAAGGAAAGGAGATGTTTCCTTTTTAATTTCTATTATTCTTCTAAAACGAATTATACCTGCATTACTGTTTAGCTGTATTTTTATTGCCATGCATGGAAATAAATGATATTTAGGCTTTCCCAATTAATTTTCCATTATTTGACATTCAAGTTGCGTGGATCTTTTTTTGTTTTGTTTTACTTTTACAATCATCTCAGAGCAGGATGTTTGGGAGAAAATTAATTGAAAACAAACAAGACAATAAAGGGCAACACTTGAGCTTTCTGAGACTAGGCCAGCAGCGCTCATGGATGCAGAAGGGATTGTGAAACCAGCACTTAAAAATGCCAATGACCGGGGCGCCTGGGTGGCTCAGTTGGTTAAGCGACTGCCTTTGGCTCAGGTCATGATCCTGGGGTCCCAGGATGCAGTCCCGCATCGGGCTCCCTGGTCAGCGGAGAGTCTACTTCTCCTTCTGACCTTTCGCCTCTCATGCATTCTCTCTCTCTCTCAAATAAGTACATAAAAATAAAATCTTTAAAAAAAAAATGCCTATGACCAGAAATGTTCCCCTTTAATCAGATTGTCTAACTGACCAAATTACTTTTGGCCCACTCCTGTAGCACCCCCACAGAAAGCAAGTATTAAATGAACATTTAGCCATTGCCTAAAGCTGAATGTGGCTTGGGTTCTCTTTCATCCAGTTCCCATTCCTTTCTCCCTGCCTCTTTTTTTTCCCTCTCTAACAAAAATAAAGACATAATGTATGATCATAGTCAAAACCTAAATAAAGATGTACCAGAAGGAAACAAAAATATACTAAAGTTTACCTTCTAGAGATAGTTACTGATGATGGTTTATGTGTGTGTGTGTGTTTTTAAGATTTTTTTTTAAGTAATCTCCACGCCCACTGTGGGGCTTGAACTCATGAACCGGAGATCAAGAGTCACATGCTGCTCCTACTGAGCCAGTCAGGCACTCCTATGTATATATACATTTATAAATGGAATCATACAATAAACACTGATGAAATAAATTTGCTTTTATTAAATGACAATATAATTATTAATATCTTTGCATTAACAAACAAATAAGTTAATAGAATGATTTTAACAACTATAAAGCATTATACTCTATCACAGTTTTACTTAACTACCCTAAAAATAGAGGAAAAATGTACAATTAATTTCTTATTGTTTTGGGAGACTTTCATTTGGGTTTTCTCTTCCCTTCAACCCAAATGAAAGTCTCCCAAAACAATAAAAACTTAATTATCTCATGTAACGAGAAGCCCTGAGATGGAACCGTTCCAGAGTTGGTTAACTTAATGCCATCACAATGTTGGTAGGGACCCAGATATTGTTTGTTTTTCCAACTTAAAACTCTCCCATCCTCACTGGATTTGGCTTGTGTGCTTAGGCTGATTTTCCTTATGGTCCCAAAATGGCAGCTGTAGTTCCAGAAGTTACAGGCAGAGGCAATGTTCCTGGCTTATGCCCCTTTGAGGCTATGGAAACCTCATGCCTTATTGACCTGAATAACATCACATGCCCATGGCTAGTTAGTCCCTTGGTAAGGGGAGTGAGATCACCGTGATTAGTTTCTACCCACAAAGATTTACCCTCTGAGGTTGCAGGGGAGACCAGTCCTGAAGGACAAGGATACTTGGAGAGGGGTGAACAAATCATGGTTCTAGCAGCCAACAGTTTCCCACAGTAGGACATTTAGATTTCTTGTCTAGTTTCTATGTAATTTCAGCACAGTTACAGTTTATAATAATAGTTCTGTCTGATACTTGTCTAGTGCTTTTTATGGGCTAGGAACTAGGGAAGTGATTTACATAATTCTCATCCAGTTCTCCCAACAACCCTGTAATGTTGTGCCCACCTTACCCATGAGGAAACTGAGACTTGAGGAGGTTAAGTATCTTGCCCAAGGTCAAAGAACCAGGTAGGTGGATAAACCTTCCTTGTTGTGTCCTGGATACTAGAGGAACAGGTATTCATCAGGTACAGAGGACCCCTTCTCGTGCCCTTCTCCTGTGTCCCCACCAGAGGAGAAATTCACCGAGGAAAAGATCAGTCAGGCCCTCTGCAACTGCTGCTCTGGGAAAACTTTTTTGAGATAGGCCCTTACCATTGCTTCACTGTAAATTTCTGTTGATGTGTTTCTATTTCCAGCCCGATGGCTGTAGCTCGTCAAGGTTAGCAATTTGTCTGGCATCTGCACATTTGGTGAGGGCCTGCTTCCTGGTGTATAGATGGAGCCTTCTCTGTGTCCTCACAGGGGAGAAGGGATGAGGAATCTCTAGGGCCTCTTAGAAGGGCTTTAATACCATTTATTGAGGGCTCCATCCTCATGACCTAATTCCCCCTCAAAGACCCTACCTACTAATTCCATCACCTTTGGGGAGGGGTCAGGATTTCAACACAGGAATTTTGGAGTGATACATTTAATCTATAGCAGCCCTCTCGAACCAGTTAGAAGATCTGATGCACCAAATGTTTGTGAAAGAGTGGTTGTGGTCCCAAAATATCTAATAGCTTGCTGAATGACTGAGGCAGCCCACTTTGCTTTGGGGGGTCCTGCTTTTCATCATCTGTGAAGTAAAAAGCCTGACCATCCAAGAGAGGAAGTATTATTCCCAGACTCTACAAGACTAATTGTGGAACAAAAAACCACAGGCAACAATAGTCAGGCATGTGTCTGCAAGAGGCTCCCATGGTCAGTATTTCCATTTGTGATTCCACATCCCATGTTTTCCTCATCACAGAGTGGCAGTCAGCTTCTGTGAGGCAGCTCAGGACTTGGCTCCCTCACTGAAGGTTCCAGAAAATATGTCATGCCTATTTTTTGTGGTGGTGGCTCTCACACACGGTGGACATTTTGTGTGCTGAGTGATATTTATATAATAAATATTTTATAATATTTTATAATATATTATAAATTATATTATAATATATTATAAAATATAATATATTATTATATTATATAATTAAATATTATTTATAAATATATAATTAAATATTATAATTAAATTATATATATTAAATATAATATAATATTATATTACAAAATTATCAAATAATTTTATTTTCTCTGGGTACTCAGTGACTTACTACAAAAGCATAAAGATGTTGGCTAAACTCGAATGCTGTCTCGTAATTGTCAGATTTTTATGCTCGTGTGAAATGTCGGTGACTTAAGTTTTCCATTTTCATTCCCAGTCTTCTATCAACGACGCTGCAGAATTCAAAGTAGTAGCTGATGCCATGAAAGTAATTGGCTTCAAACCTGAGGAGACTCAAACAGTGTATAAGATTCTGGCGGCCATTCTTCACTTGGTGAGTAGGGCCACCTTTGAGAATATATTGCCTCCTTGTGGAGACAGGACACATTTTCAGAAGATTTTGTTTTTTCCCTGCAGATTTAAAAACTAATTTATATAAAGAAAATTTCTCTTACATTTTTGAAGCAGTTATGGTATCTGTGGTTCGCTCCATCATTTTATAATATTATGAAGGATTTTTCAAAGCCACTGTAGGTTTTGAAACTTAAATTCATCATCTTCCGGATATGTCAGATTTTGAACAGTTTCATTCTGAGGATGAAAGAATTCAGTAATGAAATGACTATCAATGGTATAAGCTAAAATCTTTTGAACAGAATATTGTTTGAGTAGCACTTGAAGCATAAGTTATCGGAACTGGAATCCTGATCATCTCATTTCTCACATTGGGAAATGAGCGCTAAAGGGGTGGCAGGACTGGCTTGAAGGCGCATCCAATTCATGGTGGCCAACCCAGTAGACGAGATGGCCGACCAGGGTCCAGGCATGCTCCACTACCACTGCAGCAAACTCAGACACATGAAGAGCCCTGTGTCGGATTTCTCTCATTCCTGTTTATATAATCATAGACGTTGAAAATACGGTGAGCGTGTAACCTTAGAAAAAATGAATGACACCATGAATTCAAACCCGGAATAAAACTTACCTTTCTGTAACGTGGCAAGATTTAACTTTTAATGAAAGGGGCAGGAACTCTATGTAAAAATATCATAGGGCAATGTAAATGTTACTGTAAGTAAATGCTCCTAACTAGGAAGACTTGAATATTACAAATTGTCCCATTCTTTCAGCCAGTTTATAAATAAACAGTATCCTTCAGAATCCAAATAGGAATTTTATTTTTAAAGTTGAAATAATGGCTCTAGAATTTACCTGGTCCAATAAACATGTAAAGAAGATCAAATAAAACATCCTAAAGAAGAGTAGTAAGGTAGAGGGAAAAGAGGAGAGGATCCATGACTAATTCTGCCAGATTTTAAATGATAGTAAAAGTGACAGTCCTTTAAAACTTGTTGCACGAATGTATCATCAGATTATGCAAGAGATTGGTTGATGTGCTGGACAGCTGGTAGAGGGTTAATAAGTATTTATTGCTTGTTGAATAAGTGAAATATAAATAGACTCAGAAACTTGGGGGAATTTAATATATGATAAAGGTGATATTTCAAATTTCTTTTTTTTAAGATTTTATTTATTTGAGAGAGAAGAGAGCACAAGATGGGGGAGGGGCAAAGGGAGAGGGAGCAGAGACTTCCCACTGAACAGGGAGCCCAACATGGGGCTTGATCCCAGGACCCCAGGATCATGACCTGAGCCAAAGGCAGACACTTAACCGACTGAGCCACCCAGACAGTTCTAAAGGTGACATTTCAAATCAGGAGGAAAAGCTCAGCCATTCAGTAAATGGTGTTGGAGCAACTAACTAACCATCTGAAAAAATAAAGTTAGATTCTTTGCACCACTTAGTAACACAAATTCTAAGTGAGTTAAAAGCTTAAATGTAAGGGGAAAGCTGTGTATTTGAAGAAAATATTAAACATTTATAAAATCTTCGGAGTGGGAATTGGTCTAAGTATGACACCAAATTAAGAGAAGCCCCAAAGCAAAAGACTGTAGATTTGACTACATAAAAATGTAAAACTTTTCTCCATCAAAAAACAAAAGCTGAATATTAAGAGATAGATGGGTGTCTAGAGCAGAGGAGAGATGGATGAAGCAGTGGGTTTTTAATATATATGTAATGTATTTAGGAAAATCAGTGCTACAGACAAGGTCACTTTGAATTTTATCTTTAATTGGCAAATTGATCCCCGACATAACATTTCAGAATCTTGCTGGCAACGGCGTCTTGTTGTTTTCTGTCTGGTATAGGGAAATTTAAAATTCGTGGTGGACGGTGACACGCCTCTCATTGAAAATGGCAAGGTTGTATCTATCATAGCAGAGCTACTCTCCACCAAGACGGACATGGTAGAGAAGGCCCTTCTCTACCGGACGGTGGCCACAGGTCGTGACATCATTGACAAGCAGCACACGGAGCAGGAAGCCAGCTACGGCAGGGACGCCTTCGCTAAGGTGGGATTCGAACTGACATCGTCCCTGTCTGGGGATGCGGTTTTAGAGAACTCCCGTGAGGATGCATCCAAGCATTCCATGAAAGTGGGCTCCGGCTTTTAGAAACCAGAGTGGTACTTCTGGGCCATCACAGTCCAAATAAAACGCCCTGGCTGTGAGCACCAGGAGCGTTCTGAGAAGAACAAGTCCAACTGGACAACCGACGCTGCCTGCATGGGCCCTTTTGCCGCCTTCCCTTTCATGTGGCTCACCAGTGTTTGATGAAGGCCGCCCCAGGTCGCCCGAGGGAGTGCTTATCCTCCGTGTTCTGTGTCTGTGCGGGGATCGTGCCGTGAAGTCATTGACCTTCTTTCCTTTCCCTGATACAACAAATAATGCTGCCATATCCCATGCATGTATCCCTACACACCAGCCCTTTTAGTCCCACGGGACAGACTCCCAGGAATGAGCACCCCACATCAAAGGACACACTGATTTTAGACTCTAAGTTGACGGACTATGGGTATATGGAAGTATCTTGTGATTACGTTCGTTTCATTGCCCATGTATTTGAGCATCTTTCCGCATGTCTGTAAGGTATTTAAGTCCGTTCTGGGAATCACCTGGTGTGTCCTTTGTACATCTTCCTCAGGGCCTCTTGCTGTTCTGTTGCGTGTTTGTGAGAGCTCATCCCTTTAACCCTTGGTCTGTTATCTGCATGGCAAGCGTGTTACGTTCCCAAGATTACATTTTCTTGTTTTCTTTCTCTTTGTCGCTGTTTGGTTAGATGGCACATATTCCATTTTTACTCTTTTGAGTCCCAGGCTTGGTTGTAGTCTCCAGAGGAATTTGGATTTATCCAAGTGCAATGGAGAGTGGAGGATTCTAAGCAGAAGCAACGAGCGATTCTGCATTTTTAAGCCAATCGCTCTGGCTTCAGTATGGAGACTCTTCTGCGGGTGGGGATGGAAACAGGGGGACCATTAAGGGGATATTTTAGTAGCCAGGAGAGAGATGATGGCAGGTTGCGTAGAAATGGGGGAAAGAGGATGGTTGGAGACGTAAAACCCACAGCCCCTGTTTGTCTGGGGAACCATAAAATCAAGGATCACTCCTAGAGTGCTCTGACTCCAGCCTGTGTCTCCTGCCTCATTCCGCACCATGCTCCAGTCTCCTCCCTTCATTCCAGCACGTTAGTGTTCGCTCAGGCCTTGCAGGTGGTCTTTATCCCTTTCTCCCTCTAGCCACAGGGCCTTTGCACAGGATCCAAGCCTCTGCTTGCTTGGATCCCTTGTCTCACCCCCTCTTGCTTCGTCAACTCTTACTCATCCTTCTGATCTCAGCCCACTTTCTCAGGGAAGCCTTCCCTGGCCTCTGAATCCCGAACAGGTTAAATTATCCTCTGAAGCCACGCACCTCACCTTTGGGGTGGGGGTGGGGGGAGTGTGTGTGTGTGGCGGGGGGGGGGGGGTTTCTTTTCTCCTACTTCCCTGTCCTCCTTGGAGACCGAGACCGTGTTTATGTTTGCTTCAGTACTATATCTCCAGTAACCTGCCCAGAGTAAGTAGTCAGCTAATACTTGTTGAGTGAATAAATTCCTACATTTCTAGAGTCCTTTGTTCATGCTCAGAAGTAAGGTGGGAACAGTTTTCGGAGGTGGGAAGAGCAGGAGTCCTGACAGCACAGTGTAGGAGATGGCTGTGAGCCCCTAAGAATATTGTCGGGTTGGCTGTCGAGCATGTGAGTCTGGCACTCAGAGGAGAGGTCTGCATCGGAGTAGTAGACTTGGGCGTAGTATTGTAGCAGGTCTGTTTAACATCGAATGAGATGGCTCCGGAGGTGTTAGAGTAAAGAGGACCAGAAGAACTCCTCCTTTTAGAGGTCAGGTGGAGGAGATTTTACCAAAGGTCAGCCAGCAGGAGCAGCCAGTGAAATAGGAGAAAAATTAGGGAGGTGTGGCGTCCCAAGTCCCAGAGGGGAGAAAGTTCAAGAAGAAGGTGGGAAACCAGGTGGAGTGACGCTGAGTGTCTGGGTAAGACATCCGTACAGAGGCCTATGAAAATGTCTACACCGAGGTGCTTGGGGTCTTTGATGAGCCATTTCAGTCCAGTGGTGGGAGGTAGGCGAAGACTGGACTGGATCAAAGAGTAAAAGGGAGGCAAAGAGAGGAGGCCGGGCATGTGGATAAGTGCAGGTGGAGGGAGAGGTGGCTGGAGGGAGCTGCTAAACGGTGTGTGCTGAAGACGCGCCGTGGAGCGTCCTTGTGTCCGATGTGCATACGCGGAGCCTGTGGTGCCTTTGTCCACGTGCATCTGGCTGTGCATGTCCGCGGGCATTGGATATGCGTTGGGTTCTCTAAGAACTTCAAACTGCGGTCTTTGGCTCAGATCTTTACAAAGCATTAAAAATCGATATTTGTATTTTTAGAATCCACAGAGCTTTACTGGAACGTAGATATTAACTCATTGGTTCCCCACTTTCTCATATCTGATGAAATTCACAAGCAAGTAATGAGGCGACTTCTGTGAGGGAGTAGGGAAGTTATTGATAGAGCCGAGCGCAGAGACGAACCCGGGAGTGGTGTCCGAATGCCATAGTGACCGGTAATAATCTTAAAAAGTCCAAACCGTTTCCTTGAGTGTTACCTGCATCGTGCAGTTGTTTTGTTTTGTTTTTTTAAAACAGCTGATCTGCATTTCTTATTTTTCTGCTTAGAGTAATAACAGCTATGTTAGGTGGTAAGGAGAAAGTAGGTAAGAATTTAAAGCTTAGCACGGATCTAAACAGAAGACACAGTCGTAAGCGGGCAAGAGTGAATGATGTTGTTCCTCTCACAGGCGATATACGAACGCCTCTTTGGCTGGATCGTCACCCGCATCAATGACATTATTGAGGTCAAGAACTACGACACCACGATCCATGGGAAAAACACCGTCATCGGTGTCTTGGATATCTATGGGTTTGAAATCTTTGACAACAACAGGTAAGCTGGGTGACCTGCTTCAGACGCTACTGTTCTTGTTAGGTCTCCGAGCCTGATCGGTCCCGTCTCTCGCAGCTTCGAGCAGTTCTGCATCAACTACTGCAATGAGAAGCTGCAGCAGCTGTTCATCCAGCTGGTGCTGAAGCAGGAGCAGGAGGAGTACCAGCGGGAGGGCATCCCCTGGAAGCACGTGAGTGGGCCTCGGGGAGGTAGCCTCCCCACGCATGCTGTCAAAGAGTGTCAGAGCTCATCGTTTTAGCAATTTTCTTGGGCCCATGAAACATCCGAACGTTAGCTTTCCTTCTGGAGATACGTGATGAAAGGTCATTTTCGGGGTGTGCGGGTGGAATGTCTCTCATTGGATGGACTGCCCTGTTGCTGCGCGGGAATGCTGACTTACAGCCTTTGGACTTGAGAGCAGGTGCTCCATGGTCTCCGGGCTCATACCTGTCTCGCAGAGTTTAGCGCCACAGAGCGGTCACTCGAAGGACCAACTTTTGCCTTAAACTGATTGAGCTTGGCTTCCAAATTTAGTTTATTCTCTTTCCGTCCCCTTTCTTCTCTTATTTCTGCTTTTTCCCCCCACTCCTCTACTTTGCAGTCTAAGTGGCACTGTTACTCTCTTTGGTTATTATAGTTTATATTCTCCAAAACCCAGGTGTGAAATCATTAACATTTCCTTCCGTCAGCTGTCCTTCGTGTCCCAGCTGGTGTCACCTTCATGTGGCCCTTTTTGAACCCTGACAGTTGTCACAGTCAAACGTCTGGTGAGGCCGGGCCAGAAAGTGGGACTGCCCCGGGGCAGGAGCCCCAGACAGCACTGCTGCAAAGCATGACTTGGGTGGCTCTCTTGCCATTAGACCTCCTGCTTGTGGAAGGATGAAACCTAGTAATGTTTGCTTTTAAATTTGTATTTTTAAACAATTTTGAGAACAGACTTGAGAAATGCAAAAACTTCCAGGTTTCCACGCACTTCTGTGTTTATGAAACTGTGTTTATTCTCTTGCCGAATAGAACACACAATAAAGTTTAGTAGTTTTTTAATATCTGACATAGTAGTAAAAAGCTTATTTTTTAAAAAAATTTTTTATTTATTTGAGAGAGAAACAGTGAAAGAGAGCATGAGAGCAGAGGTCAGAGGGAGAAGCGGACTCCCCACGGAGCTGGGAGCCTGATGCAGGACTCGATCCCGTGACTCCGGGATCATGACCTGAGCCGAAGGCAGTTGCTTAACCAACTGAGCCACCCAGGCGCCCCTAAAAAGCTTATTTGATAGGCTGTATATAAGTTACTTTTATATTTCTTCCCACCTTCCTACTTTCTCTTTCCTCTCATTCAGAAGGGAGACAGTGGTATAGTTAGTACCAGTCGTGCCTCAAATTGCATCCTTGCCTCCCAGCACGTGTTAAACATCAGAATACCAGAAAAAAATTTTTGTTCGAGTATCTTAGTGTAAATTTTACTGTTTTACAAATGAACCAAAAGGCGTATTATTCCTTTGTATTAGAATGACCTATAATTGTGATTTAAGCAGTGAACTCTCATAGCACATTTAAGATGTAAGTCAGTTAAGTTTAGATGTAGCTTTCTTAGAAGGGATCTGCTGTACAATTTAATACACAATTACAATGGAAGCTTCAATTTTTATGACACATTTAATCATAAAACTTGTTATTCAGAGGTGATTCAGAGATACTGGTCAAAAATAACCTTTAAAAATCAGGATATCAAATTCCACAGGCATAGTTGGTAAGGAGAAAAGTCGACAACCACAGTAGGCTATGCCAAACATCTGAAAAGGGAGCAAAATGCAAAAATGCAAAAATCTTCAGCAAAATAAACCAAAATAAACCAAGAAGTAAATGTCCTAGAGGGGACAAAAGGCTAGATCCCAGGTAATTGTTACCATACTACCTGCTGGGTCCCCCCAGATTGGAATCTCTACTCTGGGTAATTATTTCCTTTAAAAAAAAAAAAACCTCAGTTAATGAACATGGTGATTGATTTTTTTATTATGGAAAATTTCAAGCAAACGTAAGAGCAGAGATCGCGATATAATAAACTCCATGGGCCTGTCACCAACCATGACAACTGTCGGTGGGTTGTCAGGCTCATGTCATCTGGACCCAACCACCCCACCCCCAGGTTATTTTGAAGCAAATCTCAGACATCATATTGTATCATCCTTAAATAACCCAGTGTGCTTCTCTAAAAGGTGGAGACTTTTATAAATACCATGACCACAGTACCTTTATCACACCTAAGAAATATAACAGTAATTCCTTATTATCATCAAATACCCAGTCAGTGCTTGAATTTCCTCAGTCATCTTACAGGGGTTGTTTTAGTCTGTTTTTATAATTGCTTAAATTTGGACCCAACCAAGGTTCTTACATCGTGGTTGGTTGACAGGACGTTCACATATCTAGAGGTTTTCTCCTCCGTCTCTCTTTTTTCCTCACAACCTTCTGTTGATGAGGATGAGCCGTTTGTTCTGTTGAGCTTGCCACAGTCTGGATTTTGCTTGTCGGACTCCCGAGGTGTCACCCGTCTATGTCTCTGTTCCGTTATGCCCGTGGTTGCTAGATCCGCAGTCTCGGCTGGTTTCAGGATCAGTGTTTTTCTGCTGGTCTCTTTCATAGGTGGTATGTGGACTTCTGTCAGGGGGTTCCTAAGGCTTGGTTGTCTCCCTGTTCGACTCACCTTCACAGGCTTTCGGTGCTGTAGTTTACAAGTCATTTTTAGCTGCTGGGACTGGGCAGTTGGGCACCAGATGCTCCGTCTGCGGTGGGAATGGGTGGCCCAGACCTCTCTGCCCCTGAGCTACCTCGTCCTGTCTCCTCCTGCCCCCTGTAATCCCTAAAACCTACTGGGATTCAAGACTGCTGGAAAAAACCTGGTTTGGAAGCCACAACTTGAAGCAACGTTTGAAGTAACCTTAAACTTATGAACTAAAAGTTACCGAACTCTTCAGCAAAGACTCATCACTTTAGTCAGACAGTTGGTTCTTTAGAGGACTTGTTTTGTCCCTAGGGCAAAAGATCTAGTCTTTAATTCCATACCCCCAAGGTCTAAGACTTCAGGTAATAATTAATCTAAGAGTTACTTCTTTTTTTTTTTTTTTTTAAGATTATTTATTTATTTATTTGACAGGCAGAGACTACAAGTAGGCAGAGAGGCAGGCAGAGAGAGAGAGAGAGAGAGGAGGAAGCAGGCTCCCGCCGAGCAGAGAGCCCGACGCGGGGCTCGATCCCAGGACCCTGGGATCATGACCTGAGCCGAAGGCAGAGGCTTTAACCCACTGAGCCACCCAGGTGCCCCGAGTTACTGCTTTTTGAGAAGAGTAAGGATATTGTTTCAAAACCTGGAGATAACTCTTCTCCCTAATTAGGAATAGTAATATGTGTCCACCATAAAAGTACGTATGTAGACCAGGTTTCTCCACCTCTGGACTATTGACGTTCTGGGCCAGGTAAGTCTTTGTTGTGGGGCTGTCCCGGGCATTGTGCAATGTGTAGTGGCCTCTTCCCACTGATCACATAGTCATGACATTCAAAAATGTCTCCAGACACTGCCAAATGCCGCTGGGGCAGAGGTAGTCATCCTCTTGAGATTCACTGATATAGATAGAGCAGTAAAGTATGAAAAAGGAAGCAGAAGCCACCCCGCCGTCAGTCCATCAATACAGAAGAGAGCTTAGAGGAGGAGGGCAGAGCTGAAACCCAAAGACAGACAACTGGCATGAGTCCTTGGACCTTAAATAGCATGGAGCAGGGTCCATGAGAGACGGAAATTGTGTATTCTGAGCTTATAGATCTTACAGGAGAGGATGGAGACAACACTCTGGTTTAGGTACCTACAAAATGAGGGGGACACATCAGCGCCCAGGACTAAACTGTGATAGTAAACTGCCCGTCTCCAAATGGCGCACAGAGAGCCTGCATGAGGCCAGTGCACGGTGAGATGGGCGCTCTCTGAATAAACGGTTGCACAAGAGGTATTTGGGATAAACTCCACGTATACTGAAGCTGCTAAAAATCCTGTTATTTAGAACTTTATTCAGCTCACAAAAGCACACAAAAAGTTTATTCTTTTTTTTTAAGATTTTATTTATTTGACAGAAAGAGAGCGATCACAAGTAGGCAGAGAGGCAGGCAGGGGGTGGGGGGAGCAGACTCCCTGCTGAACAGAGAGCCTGATGCGGGGCTCGATCCCAGGACTCTGAGATCATGACCTGAGCTGAAGGCAGAGGCTTAACCCACTGAGCCACCCAGGTACCCCTAGAATTAAATTTTTTATATTTTTATATTTTTAAATTTTTTATATTTTGCCCAGAGAGACATCAAACGTCTTTTAGACCTCTGCGTGCCTTTTTCACTTGGGGAAAGCTGGAGAAGACACTCTTTTGGGTTTTAGTCCTTGAAGGCTGTAGAACTAAAAATTCGAGTTCTATGTGATGCTGTAACCTCATCCAGTTATGAGTCAAATAATACTTTCAGGTTATTTGTTGGTACATCATGGAGTGTGGGTCTTGTGATTAAATGGCAAACAGATTGGGGGATTGAGAGTATGAAGGAGTGGGGTGAGGTGCGGGATTAAAACAAAAGTTTGTGTTGAGGGAACACTGCCTCTTTTATAATTCTTGCCTTGAGCTATCCTCACGTACACGAAGTGTTTCATGATATAAAGTCCATAAAGAAATTTAAAAATGAGCCTCCAATAGAACATGTGGTCATTTTAGCATTAGACCTCAGTAATACTCTGGGCCTGTTTCCCACCAAGATAACTTTATCTGAACCCCTGAGATGTGCACAGGCGCCGGCGTTTTGCCCGTGCTGGTCTCTGGTCCCTCTGGAACGGCTTCCTTGCTGTGTCCTCCAGATCGATTACTTCAACAATCAGATCATCGTGGACCTCGTGGAGCAGCAGCACAAGGGGATCATCGCCATTCTGGATGACGCCTGCATGAACGTCGGCAAAGTCACCGACGAAATATTCCTCGAAGCACTTAATAGTAAATTGGGCAAACACGGCCATTTTTCCAGCCGGAAGGTAATGTGTTTTATGAGGACTTCCTCTCCTTTTGAGCTGTCACATTTTCCCCATTGCTGAACAGAATTAAATGGTCTTAAATGTTGGGTTAAAAGAATGTCCACTCAAGGAAGCAAGGAGAGCCACAAGCATCCATTAAGTGGCCTACTGCTATAAATAAATTCTGCCTCTCTGGTTTATGGGATGACAAGAGCGATAAAAATCATAATATCCAGGAGAGGGAGCTCCAGACTATTCAATTTGCTAGAAATAGGAAAAAATGAACATGATTTTAGAAAGCATGATGTCATTTATAACCAATAGGTACAGAGGCTTTGTTCATGTGCTAGAATTTTGCTCCTGCATCTGATAATTCTGGCACTGAAAACAGCTTTTGTCCTTGACTTTTTACTGTAATCAGTTATAAAATGTAGTATGTGTACTCTGCCACAGTTCTTCAAACTCCGTGACTTTCTTGAGCATAGAGAAGCTCTGGCCATAATTCTCCCCATCACAAGGAAACTCGTTCCCCTAAATGAATGGATATCCCTCTCAATTCCCCATTTTCCACATTCTAAAAAGGTTATTAAACAGATCACATTTCTGTAATAAGTGGTGGCCGTTGTGGTTGTCAGACTCTCGTGCCGGGCTTTGCGTACAGTGTGTTTGCCATTAGGATTTGCCCTAGGAGGGGCCACCGTCATCCCTCAGTGTTCCCCACAAATACCGGCTTGTCCAGCAGCCAGAAGCCGAAGGAGAAACAGCCCCGATGCTCCGTCGCTTCCATAAAGAAAGGAGCAAGCATTTCTGCTCCTCCATATTTGCATGTAAATCTATGACACACTGCCAATTTTTTTTAGCACGAGTAAGTCCATTTTCTAATTTTGCTCCCTTTGAAAGTGTGTAATGGGAACAGAAAGAATCTATAGTTAACTAGATAAAGCACAAATCATCAAGAAATGGATTACTGGCTGATAGTTATTTTAGGCCATTTTATTTCTAAGAGGCTCTCCTTGGTCTCTTCCCGGGGGTTGACTAGGATCCTGACTACAAGTCAGTCAGCTATCGGATCCTACGGTCTGACATTTTACATCTTCAGTCATTTCCCATGTATAACACAAGTGCTTCCTACATGCCCCTCATCTCCCAGGCATAAGTCGGGTGCTGGGGACAGAGCAGTGAGCCCAGTTAGAAGCATCCTACCCCATTTAAAGTGATCTGTTGTAAGATGGTATCTCCATCCTACAGTGGTTGTCTACATCCCTTACAATCCCAGCCCAGGTTCTGGAGACTCACCTAACATCCTGCCTACCCCAGACGGGAGATAATCAGTGTTTGTAAAATTGAATTGAGTTTGGTCACGATCATACCAAATAAATCTGATGGAATATGGAATTTTAAACTGAAACATGCAGGGCTCCACTTCATTTAAATAAGTAATTATGATTCATGATAAACCACCTCATTTTGATTCAACTTGGCCATTTATACACCTGACTTAAATTTGTCCACCAAATATTTTGAAATATCTCATTCTGAAGGTAGCCATGATACAGAGTACTTTTAAGTAGTTGCCACTGATGTGGTAAGAAATTGCCAGATAATAGTTTATCTGGGAAGACAGGAATTCTTTTTTTTTTTAAGATTTTATTTACTTATTGGAGAGAGAGAATGAGTGAGTGGAGGGGGGTGGAGCAGAGGGAGAGGGACAAGCAGACTCCCCGCTGAGCATGGAACCCAACACAGGGTTCAGTCTCACACTCTCAGTTCATGACCTGAACCCAAATCAAGAATAGGACGCCCAGGGGCACCTGAGTGGCTCAGTCGTTAAACGTCTGCCTTTGGCTCAGGTCGTGATCCCGGGGTCCTGGGAGTGAGCCCTCCATCGTCCTCTCTGCTCAGTGGGAAGCCTGTTTCTCCCTCTCCCACTCCCCCTGTTTGTGTTCCCTCTCTCGCTGTGTTTCTGTCAAATAAATAAAATCTTAAAAAAAAAAAATTGGATGTCCAACCAGCTGAGCTACCCAGGCACCCCAGGGATTTTCTTTCTTTCTTTTCTTTACAAAAGAGCCACCGGGTTAGAGTCAAAGACACCAACCCGGTGGCTCTTTTTTCCAGCATCTCCCTCCCCACTCCCCTTGTCTGACAGGGTAAGGGGAGGTGATGCTGGAGGAGGTTTCCCCCTGAGATGGGGATTTCTTTTTTTTTTTTTTTTTAAAGATTTTATTTATTTATTTGATAGAGATCAGTAGGCAGAGAGGCAGGCAGAGAGAGATGGAGAAGCAGGCTCCTTGCTTGCGGAGCGGAGAGCCCAATGCGGGGCTTGATCTCAGAACCCTGAGATCATGACCTAGGCCGAAGGCAGAGGCTTAACCCACTGAGCCACACAGGCGCCCCGAGATGGGGATTTCTAAAGTGTGTTAATTTCTAGGATTACTGCTTTAACAAAGGAAAGAAATGGGATAACCAAGCTGTCAGGATATTTCCATCATTATGAATCTTTCTTTTAAAAAACGCTACTATCCTGTACGTTACGCCAGGTGTTAACATTTGCTGTTGGTTACAGATCCCCTCAAGCTACTGGCATGTTAAATCCGAGGTTTCTGCCTTGTATTTATTTAGGAGCTAAATGGTTCCTCCTACATTAAGGTTATCATGGAGAGATAGGCAAATGGTCCAATAAACCATGAAATTCCTATTCAAAGTACTGTAAACATAAAGTTAAATGATATACCGAACTTAATTATTTCTAAAACGTAAAAGTCAAAAACCTTCTGTGTTCAGATCACTTGAGACTTTGCAATATCCAAATGTAAGAATATTCAATTAGTGTGGGCATCTCCTGGGTCCTTTTCCATGAGGAGTTTTATAAATGAAAGGCTTTTATAAAATGGTTAACGAGAGAGAGCGGAAAAGAGGGATTCCATTTTTTGGAGACCCCTCTGTATGTTAGATACTTTGGTCTCCATGGTTCATGGAAGCTTCAGAACAGCTATCTGGGATAAGTAACTGTTTAAGATGCAGAGCAAGTAGATGGTAGAGCCAAGATTTGAACCTCGGAAGTCTGACTCTAATTTCTGGTAAGTATTCACTTGTCTGATGGGTAAGCTATTTCTTTACTAGTCCAGTTACGAGTGTAGAAGCCACCCTCCTGGTTGGGGGTGTTTTTGGCTAAGAGTGCAACTTAAGTTTGTCATGCGTAACTGCGCTCAGTGCTTTATGGATTCTTAGATGTCTGCTTCAGAACCTGTACACTATTGCGTGATCCTTCACAGGGCAGACAAAGGAGTCTGGGCATTACTGTAACAAGGAGACTGTGGAGGCCACCCCACAGAAAAACTGCCTTTCCATAAACTTCTTCAGGGAGAAATAGCTGGAGGAAGTTGGTTTCCTTTGAAATGATAACCCTGAACTTGACTCCCAGCTCAGCAAAAGACAAGTGAGCCAGGCCATTGTGTGCCTAGGAGAGCAGATATTACATCTGGTCCCAAGAATCCTTCCCAGAATGACCACCTATGAGCTTTGTGACTTGGGCCAGTTACCTGATCTCTCTGACCCTTAATTTCCTTGTGTATAAAAGAGAGCACCTGATATTTTAAATGTCAGTAGTGAGGATTGCCTGAGATGCACGTGCCCAGCACACGGCAAGCCCTCAGTGTGGTATTCCCTAAGTGGAGCCTGGAACAGAAGGAGACTGTGTCAGTCAGGGTAGGCTGGGCCACTTATGACAGCAGCCAGGCTTTCCGCACCAGAGACAGTAGTCCGTTTCTGTCCCAGGGACCCCGACTTCTTCTGTCTTCCGGCTCTTCTATCCCCTTGCCGCTGTCCTTCTCTGCATCCAGCTAGTGGGAGAAGAGGAAGTACCGTACAGGGTCATCTACCTCTTACCAGCTTTGGCCTGACACAGCCACACTTCCTTTCCTCTCCCTGTCCACTGTCAAGCACCTCATCACATGGCCGTATCCACCTGCCAGGGTGGCTGGGAAATAAGTCCAGCTGTGAGGACTTCCAGTGAAAGCTCACAGGCTTTACCACATAAGCCCCACACAGGGTGATTTCGTTCATAATGGTATCATGATGTGTGACACTCTCATCATCTTACATGACACACTGGAGTATATTTTTAGGAAAACGAAAAGAATCTGTTTTCACAGCAATCTCCTTATTGATTTCTTAGCTCTGCGCCTCAGACAAGATCCTGGAGTTTGATCGAGATTTTCGAATCCGGCATTATGCAGGTGATGTAGTGTGAGTATCTTATGTGGGGACCTAACACCATGATCTGCATGCAGCTTCACTTCAGAAAACAGAGCCAGGGGAAATAAAAACTGTCTTCCTACTCATTTGTGGTTTTTAGCCACCTCATAGGCAAGTATAGTTTCATCTCCTCACTTAAAAAAAGAAAAAAATTGGCTTTGTTTCATTCATTCCTTGCTTTTCCAACTTTCTTGAGTGCACACGATGGTGGCCGTGCGCAGCCCCGGCGTAGCTGGCGCTCAGAGCAGCTGATGGGTAAATACCTCATGGGAGGATGTTAACGAGAGAAAGATGGAGGAGGTGGGCCTTTTTGTGAAGAAGCTAACGGTCCAGCGGTGGGCGCATACCTGCTAAGTCACTATAACGAACAATGGGAAGAAGGGTCAAATGGGAGATGCGTAAGGCCTTATGGAAACACCGAGGAGGGAGAACCATGCCAGGGCGAGGAATGTAGAGAGGTTTTAGTGCAGGAAGTGATATCCAAACTGAGTTCTCAAAGTAAAAGAGGCTCCGTCAGGGGCAAGAATTGGGAATTAGGAAGGGAGAGGAGCCAGGGGGCTCACGGGCCCAGAGCCAAGAGCCACCATCACGTGTGAAGAGCTACAAGCAGTTGGGTGACTATGTGAGTGGTAACTAGTTTTTCCATATTATTTCCAAATGTCATTTGGAAAGGTAGAAGTCTCACCAGCCACATTTTCTGGTCACAATATCAGAAAAGTAGAAATTGATAAGAGATATCAGAAACTACTTCAGTAAGAGGCCCCTAGGGCTGCGATAACACAATGGTAACTTAACAGGAGAGAAGTGTGTGCTTTCTCAATTCTGGAGGCCCCAAGTCTGAACTCTGGGTGTCACAGGACCCTGGGACAGAGGTTCTGGGGGATGATTATTCCTCGCCTCTGCCAGCTTCTGGTGGCTGCAGACACTGCTTGGCTCATGGCCACATCTCTCCAGTCTCTGCCTCTGTGCTCACACTGCTGCCGCCTCCTCCGCACGTCTGGGTTAAAACTCACTCGGCCTCTTTTTTTTTTTTTTTTTAAAGTAGGCTCCACGCCCAGCAGGGAACCCAACATGGGCCTTGAACTCACAACCCTGAGATTAAGACCTAAGCTTAACCGACTGAACCACCCAGGCACCCCTACCTGTGTCTTAAAACTACAATTGTGGTGGTATTTGGGGCCCACCTGGTAATACAGGATCCACTTCTCTCAAGATCCTTGACATCATCACATCTTTTGTCATAGAAAATCACACTCACAGGGGCTGGGAATTTGACATGGATAAATTCCGGGGTGGGGGGGGGAGCATTTTTCTGCCTGCTACACTTACTATGCATTGTCCACTGAACACCACTTCTTACCTGATTATTGTTTACAGTTTCTTCTCTTCCTGCCTCATTTTTTACATTAGGAAGTCTCTTGACCATAACCCGTTTCAGGAAGAGATTACATAACAACAACAATAACAAAAAGGCAAATGATTATCTCCACAAATGCCAAAAAGACATTTGAAGAAATTTTAATAGCTGTCCCTGATTTAAATTAAAACTCTGAGTCATAAAATAATATGGCTCGAGATGATCACCCCATCTGTCAAACTAGCCATTAGTGCTGGAATGGCACCATTCTCCACTTGTTCTGGTCCCGTTCCAAGGTTCCAGAACACTGAAGAGGGGAGAGGCAGCAATGGGCACACTCTCCCGCTGAAAACGCAGGCCTCATTTTCAGGATGCATCTCTCCAGTTTGGAAGCATCAAAGCAGACTGGTCAGAGGCCTTGGAGGTCAGCTAGCCTGGTGCCTTTACTTTGCAGATGGGGAAACTTATGGAAAGTGTGTAATAACACCTCATCCAAGGTCACACAGTAAGTTTTTGGAGTGGCTGAGACAGTAACTAGTTTCCAGACTCCTAGTCCAGAATGCTAGCTGACCCTTCTGTGCCCTAGACTTCCCCTGCTGTCATTCAGCCCTTCAATCCTTTTCTAGATTCTTACTGCATTATCTTCTGTGTGCACAATGTTTTATAAGATCTGGTCTCTACCCACAAAGAGCTTTCCATATAAAACTGCATACATACCTATATGATTGTGTGTGTGTTTATTTCTACTCATAAATATGCATATACTTAATATACATACATTTGCATGCATACATCAATGCAATAAAAGATGGTCTAAGATAATCACCATACAGCTAATAATAGTATTGTCAGAATTTAGAAATAATCACATGATGTAATTCTTCTATCCATGAGAAGCCCAGGAAGGCTGATGCTAGTCCTTAGATGCTAGGAATTATTTTTAAAGGGAGAAGTGGGAAGGGTGCTAGAAATATTCAGGAAATAGTAACTAGGTCCATTTAAGTGTAGTGTGTCCTTTTGTACAGAAATGCCTGGAAAATTAGATTGAGATCAAATCGTAATGAGTCTTAAAGGCCGAAATAAAGACAACAGTTCGAATGTTCTAGGTTGGACAAAAGATTAAGAGTCAGATGGCTTCAAGGTTTCAGTGCAAAGTGACTTGAAGGCCTTAGGAAGCGGATCTGGGGTGTGTGAGGCAAGGAAGGATTCTGGGACCTGGCGACCTTGAAGCTTCTCTGGGCACTGCAGCCTGAAGGAACCCCCTCGGAGAATTAAATAGGTGGGGCTGGCACACTGGTGAGGGGCAGGGGAAGACATCTGAGAATTGCCTCAATGTGATGATCGTCAAGCAGAAAGTACAGACCGGTGAGAAAGTCGAGCTGTCAGGAGCATCTAGAGCTCATCTTTGCACAGCCTCTGAACCTCCATCAGTTCTGTGCCCCAGCAGTGTACTTGCTCCTCCGGGTGGGGTCTATGCCCATTGCTGCCACAGAGCAGCTCCCCTCCCTCTCTCACCCACTGCAGACATAGCCGGCCTCTCAGGACCTTACTCCTCTTTTTCTTTCAAACCATGAATGCTGGCCTCCTTGTTTCCTCTCCTGTCCTTTGTGCATGTGCCTGCCCCTCTCCCTTCATGTGATGTTTCCCTGTATGATCTCCCTTCCTCTTCCTCCTCTGCTTATCCAGATCTTACCGTCCTTTGCAGTTCTTCTTGGATTATTTTATCCCACCCTGAACACACTGAGAGAATCTTAGGCAAGTCACCTTGACCTCCTTACAGAAGAGACTGTTAGTTCCTGTATGTCGCAGTTTTGCTTTTATCTTAGGAGTGCTGGATGATAAACACAGCTATCTTTTTAAGAGTCATCTTCTTGAGGTAAGCAGTAAACCAGTAGACAATGATGGTCTTAATCATACTGATGGTACTGATCTTTGCTCTCCTTTTGAGGAATCAAAACAACATCCCCTCTTTTTAGTAGGTAAATTTGATATTCTTTAACACAGAACAAAGTGGAAAGTATTAGTTCTACATATGATTGATGGCATTATTAACAGTGTAAAGGCTTGAAGACTTGTCAAGAAACTTAAAGGTGGCTCTTGCTTAGTGAATAATGCATGTTTCCCATGGTTTTTTTTCCTCGACTAGCTATTCGGTCATTGGATTTATTGACAAAAATAAAGACACTTTGTTTCAAGATTTCAAGCGTCTCCTGTATAACAGGTAGGACTGAAATTTTATTAATTATCTTCCCATTAAACTCTTTGTCATACATGTTGCATAATAGGTATGCACATGATTACTTTTATGTGGCAATTTTAAGAGCTTCTGACAAATTTTCTAGTTCTGTGCGACAGTAATGAATGAATGAAATAATATGATTATACAGTCTATAAATTTAGGACGGGGACCTGCTGCTAATATGACTTCCCTTCCCTTGGGTTCCCTTCATTTCTCTGTTCACTACTGCTGTCCTTCTGGCAGCAGTGTCTCCAGGGGAGGCCAGTGGCAGTGGAGAAGGAGTCTTGGATAAGGTAAATGCTTTACACATGCAGATTACCACTGTAGTCCCTTTGCTTCCAACTAAGAGACCCTCCTAATATCAGAGTGGCATCTAATGTCCATGTTGACAGATCCTCAGGGGACAGAACCTTCCCACAGTTCTAGAAAATGTGGAAAAGATGTGGCGAAATAACACCAGCCAAAGGATACAAAATTCAAACCCAGTATGAATGCTTTGGAAAGAGCCGTAAAGAAAAGCCTCTCAGCCCGTTTCTTCTTTTGGACGAGAGAAATGTAGTCACATACTTACTAAGTCTACTTAGTTGGCCAAGAGATCATCAAAAATGTGTTCAACGTGCAGCTGTGAAAACAGTTTAGGCTAAGTGCCTGCCCTCCTGGCTCTGCTCTTCTAGCGGAGATGACAGTTAATAAGAAAACAAGTCACTTTCCGGTAGTGACAAGTGCTGTGAAGAAAAATATAGTAGGTAGGAGATTGCAGGGTGCAGACGGGGAGCGGGAGGGAAGACATTATTGAGAAGGATGATCAGAAAACCTTCTTAAAAGAGGGGACTTTTGAGCGGAGGCCTGAATGAAGTGAGGGAGTGAGCCGTGAACATGTCAGGGGGTGGGGCGGGGAGAGCACTGCAGGCAGAGAGCAGCCAGTACCAAGGCGCCAAGGTGGGAGTGAGCAGCACGGTGTCTCAAGAGCAGCAAGGAGGCTAGTGTGGCTAAATGCAGAGTGAGGGGTAGTGAGAGCAATAGGGAATGAATTTAGGGAGGTCAGCAGGGCGTGGATCCTGCAGAGTCCGTGAGCCAAAGTAAGAATGAAACATGAAGAGAAGGCATAAGAATTTATGATAGGATGTGATTTATACTTTAAAGAACCCACTGGGGCTGCTGTGTAAAGGGCAAGAGAAGAAATGAGGAGACCAAACAGGAGACTCATAATCCAGATGGTGTAACAGAGGTCATGAAAAGTGGTCAGAGTGAGTGATATTTTGCAAGTGGAGCCAACAGGGTTTGCCATTAGATGGGATGTATGGTAGGAGAGAAAAACAGAAATTGGAGACGAAGCCTGAGCCGTGGGGAAGGGATGCTCGAGGTGGGGAAAACAATGTGAGGGGCTAACTGGGTGGGGGAGATGGAGTGTGTTGTTTTGGATGTGTTATGTTATATTGGACACGCCGCTGGGAATGCCAAGTAGACAACTGTGGGTATGCATCTGGAATTCTGGTAAAGGAGGGACTAGAGCTACAAATCCATGGTCATCAGTCTGTTGACAGTATTTAAAGACATAAGACTAGCTGAGATGAACAAGGGTGAACTTAGACAAATATAAAAGAAGAGGTCAAAAAGACTCATTCCTGAGACTCACCAGCATTCGGAGTCAAGCAAGAAAGAAGCAACTAGCAAAGGCAACGGGGCTGCCAGTAAGGTAGGAAGAAAGCCAGGAACCTGGTGTCACAGAGACCAAGCCAAGAAAAAAGTGCTTTAAGAAGAAAACAACTGTAAACCGTGTCAAATACTGTCCAAAGCAAAGTAAGTTGAGGACCAGGATTAACCATGGGATTTGCTGACATGAAGGCCAGTGGGACTCTTGACAACACTGGTCTCAGTAAAGTCGTGAAGATGAATGTCTGATTGAAGTGGGCTCCAGAGACTATGGATAATGAGAATGTGGAGACATGGTGTTTAAGCTCTTCTTTCAGGAAGTTTTACTATTAAATGGTTCAGTGGTGTGGATGTCAAAGGTTCCAAGGACAGTGATGGAGCTCTCTCCGCACCAGAAAGTTACATGGGAATGCGAGAGGGGCTCCAAGTAAGAATCGGTCACGGGGAAAAGGGACTTTCGGAAAGGAGTTTTGGAGCTTGAACTTTCAGGCAAGATGCACCCACTTTGAGGGACAAATGACAGAGTCTGGCATCATTCTGTGTGGGTAACATCAAAAACTCAAACTGGAAAAACGGCTTCAGTTGGCCAGTGGCAATATCAGCATGTGTTACCAGGAGAAGGCAGCCACGCGGTGTACCAGGAGGCTGCAGAAGGCAGCATTTGTTACCTTCATGAATTTACTGTGGCCCATGGGTTCAGCTCAGTGAGAGCAGCTCTGCCTCTTAGTGGTGGACTCACGTAATCCCAAGTTCACAGGACCAGTGTAGGAACAAAGCCATGTGGGAATTTCTTTCCTGGGAAAAGTCTGACCATTTTTCCCTGGAGTTTTTTTATTTGCATTGGTATTTTTATATTTGCACTGATGACAGGCTATTCCCCCCGCTGGAAACCCTGCTTGGGAAGTCACGTGGCAATGAGAATTCTAGTTTATTAATTGACAGTGGAAAATATTACCCATAGAATCCAGAGTGCTTAGTTGCTTGGTAAGCATGGAAGTAGAACAAAGGGACTTGGGTAAATCCAACAGTTAAGGGCGACAGGCTCAAAGGACTCCGTTTCCCAGTGGGGATGGTCTTACGAAGGACTGTGGACTGCAGCTGTTTGAATATATCTGCATAATAGGGAAGGTCTTGCCAGTGGGATGGGGAAGTCTTGAAATTATTTTGGCTAAAACCATCTTCCTAGATCCTTGGATGTGCTTCCTTTACCTTTGGACACTTCAATGCTTCCGTGGCTAACCCTTCCCCAATCCCCATCCTTTCTCTGTATATATGTAAAGAGGAATCCTTGGATCTCTGGTTCTGTAGACCTTGAGCGTATACTTGCCTGTATGCATGCGTGTGCGTGTGTGTGTGCGTGTGTGTAATGGGAAGAGGAAGGGAGGGAGCAGATTGCCCACCAGATACCCAGACTCTACTCTTCACTACCTCACTGCTAAGTCAGGTTAATTGTCTTGTCTATTAAACCTACTGGGTTTCTGGGTAAATAAGCTTCCCCTTTAAGAAAAGGGTTCTTACAAATGTTTGGAAACTATTTTGTTAACATTATATGCATGACTTACTGGCCCGGAAGTTCATTCTCTTTAGAGTGTATGTGTCTAGATTCATTACATATCAATTGTACTATTTAATAATAGTAATAATGAATATCTTATTTCCTTCATTTCCAACCTTCCCCTCTCCCTCCATTTACAAGGTAAAACATGGAAAGAATCTAAATATGGCCAACAGTGAGATAGGTAGAAACTGCACAGACCCAAACAAACTTCAGTCTTCAGTCTTTGGTCTGCATCAGAATTTTCAAAGTGCACACGTTCTACTTGCTGGAAATTCTATTCAGTGAGTATTAGGAAGACATCCAGGCTTCCTCTGCACCAAGGGTTGAGAACCATTGCCTTAAATTCTCTTTCAGCCAAAGACTAGAATGGAAAATTTTAAGAAGAAACAAGAGACCTTTATGGGGTCATTTTCACTGAGAGGTGCCTCATTGGGAAATCAGGGACTAGGACCAGAAAGGGGATAAAATGGGGTCCCTGAGCCACACGCAGATCACTGGGTTAATTTACCACCACCTTCCATGGTAGTCGGCACCGCTTGCTTGCAGGGGTGGGGGCTGGGAGCGCTGCTCTGTCTCCGTTCACAGACCCTGTCAGTCTTCAGCCCACCATTTATCCTTTTTGCCCAGGATTTCATCACTTACTCCGGTATTTCACAGATGTTATTTTGAGTCTCTGTGTGCAGAAGTTAACTAGGTATTTGGGGGACCACTTCAATTTCCTCCTTTTTACACCATGGAGAGAAAAATGGGCAAAATGATGGCAGCGTTAAACACAGTTAGCGGAGAATGTCCTTGCTGACTCCCTTCTCTCTCCTCAGCCCCCAATTTATAAATAAATAAATAAATAAATAAAAAGATTTCTGACAAATAGCGTTGTAGGGTGACAGGTGGCAGCACTGCCTGACCCCCAGAGATGCGGACTCACGTGTTGTACGCCCGAAACTAGTGTAACATCATTGTCAGCTGTACTCAAATAAAAAGAAAGAGAGAAGTTTCCAAGACACAAGCAGCATTTTGAGTTCCACTTCCTCTAAAATCAAAGGCACCCAGAAGGAAACAGGAAAAAAATCAAGAGTTGAAACCACTACATGTCGTCTTTGAAGAGATACCTCCACAGAGCCAAATAATGATTTTTCTCAAATACTCTGCATCAAACCCGGCCTGAAGTACACTGTGGGAGTCGGATGGAAACGGTCTCCGTGTCACATCAATGAACTAGCATAACCGCCCATAACGGAGCACGTAAATTCAGCTGTGGGACGGGGTTTACGAGAAGGCAATGTAGAAATGGTTCTTTCGTGTTCCTGCTTGTCTTGTTCAGAAGAGCTGGCTTTTTGTCCTGTCACCCGTGCTGTGGGAATCTTTTCCCCCATGAGAAGATGCTTTCACACCCGTGTTTCCTGCAGTCCCATTGAGCATTGTTTTTTCCCTGGAGGCTTGTCCTCCTCCTTCTAAGTACCACCCAACTTTTGATTTTACATAGGTATGGTAAGAGCTGTGTTAGCCATTTGAGGGTCCTAGATATCACCTTAAAGAAGTTTAAAGAATTCTTTTCTCAGTTTATTTGTGTATGTCATCTCTACACCCAACATGGGGCTCAAACTCACGACTCCAACACTAAGAGTCACACGCTCCACCAAGAATTTTTTAAACGTAGGATAGTTTGGACACATCTTCTCCATCTGTGGTATGCTGTCTCCCACTACACTTTCTCAGCCTAATTTTCTGGACGGAGTCTTTTTCCCAGCTAGGCCTTGTGAGTGCAGGCTGCAGTCTACGTGTGACCCAGAGCACAGTCCAACAGAATCGTTTCTTGTCAGAGTATTGCAATGTAATGTTCACATCGCTCTCCCTGTGCCTCTCAGTTCCAATCCTGTGCTGAAGGATATGTGGCCTGAAGGCAAACTGAGTATTACGGAGGTGACCAAGCGACCTCTGACTGCTGCCACCTTGTTTAAGAATTCAATGATCGCTTTAGTGGACAACCTTGCATCAAAGGTAACTGTTCTCTTTTCCACATATCCATCTTAGGGCCACTTTCGGTGGTCATCGGCACTGCTTGCTGCCATGGGCTCCCCCTTGATGCATGTTGCAGAGAATGTAGGTGCGATTTGCCTTTTAGGCAATTGTAATAAATCAAACTGAAACATATCTATTTAAAGTGAATGTTCTACTAGAATTTTTATTCCTGTTTTTTAACGTGGCTGGGTGAAACAGTTGTTTGTGTCTAAGAAGAAATGCTTCTTGTTAAGGTTGAGCTTTATATGGTTGTCAAAAATACAAAGTCTTAGTGAGACCTTAAAAAAAATTCTATATATACGTATATATATAAACTATAAAGTAGAACATGTACCTGGCAAAATGAGCTTCAGCCCTGTACAAAAGAAAGGGCGTGGCCTAAAAAAAATCTTGAATTAAATAGTAATATGCCATCCATGTATCATGTCTGGATACAAAATGACCAGACAGAGTATCAAGAGGAAGTTTAATATTTAAGTATTGTCCTTAGGCTGTTGTAAACAGTTGAAATAAAATGTTGTATTATTGACAGTTGGTTCTGCTGCTGATTGCTCCTTTCAGGTGTAATACTGTTTGGTAACTTCAGTCTGTTTCAGCCCCCCACGTCCGCCACCCTCCTCCCACTGCCACCCCATCCTGCCACCCTCCTCCCCCCCTACTCTCTGCCAAAGAACAGATTTCTACTCTTAACTGCTGCTGCTGACAAGTTTGATAAATGAGGAGGCTTTCCGGGACTCATTATTTTTAGTTCCTTCATTTTTATCTCTCTCTTCTGGTGCCTTTCCTCTGTATTTTATTCTCTGTTATCTTTTTATTTTTTTTAACCAACTTCCTCTCTAAGAATTTAAATCTCTACTGTTCCTGATTACTTCACTATGGATAAATTAGGCAAAGGCACAAGAACACATCTGTTCAGTAGCTCTCTATTTCTTTCTGTCAGGATTCTTTGGCTTCACGTAACAACAAATAAGCCCAGTTTGCTGGCTTGTGGAATCACACCTCCAGAAAGGCAAGGGCGAGGACACCAGAACCAAAGAGCAGAACACCATTAGAATCCTTCCTCTTGTCTCTCAGCTTCTCTGTGCTTGTCAGTTCTAACATGCCTCATCCCACAAGAGGGAAGGTGAACCTAGAAGGAGGGCGTGTGACACAAGAAACAGAATTGAACACAGAATTTTATAAAACATGTTTATAGAATATATCATAAATAGTTTACAAAATGTATTAGATTTATTTCATTAACTAGGAAAGAACTGCCTTTATTTTCTAAAATTGGTAGTTAAATGTGCATTTTTTAAAAATAAAAATTCTAGAACCATCCCTAATTTCAGTACCAGGAACTGCATTCTAATAAATAATAATAAAAGAGAGACCCCCTCCCCCAGATGAGTGGCTTAAATAGAGAGACATTAATTTCTCTCTCCTGCAGGTAAGGTCCAGAAGCAGGCATCCCAGGACTGGTATAGCAGTCGTAAGGTTTTTAGGGACCCGGGTGCTTTCTGTCTCTCTTCTACCATACGTGTGCTTGGTGTCCATCGTCCTGGCCCAAGATGGCAGCAGGGGCTTCTTCCCTTTCAGAGAGACTTCCTGGGAGTCTCACACAGCATGTCCGCCGCATCTCGTTCACTACACCTGGTTGCCAGGGAAACTGGGAAGTGCATTTTTATCCTGGTCAGTAGTGTACCTAGCCAGAAATAAGTATTCCGTTTCAAAAAAAGGTGGTGGATAGGAGGTAGGCAGCTAACTCGGCAGTCTCTGCTGCGGCTTCCCAATTTGTGTGTCTGTGGAGGAGGAGGGGTGAGGGAAAGCAACCTCTCAGCCCCAGAAAAGGCAGTAAGGTGGAGGGGAGGGGAGCCACAAAGGAGAATGTTACTTTTAAAAAATACAAAATTGTATGATAGAAATAATCTAAATAATTGGTACTCACCATAAATGTAAATAGACTAACAAGACTAGATAGAAAGTGTAGCTATAGGCTTCGTCCAGGAGATTCCTAAACACCACTGCGCAGAACGATGAAAAATAGAGCCCTTCTCCCCAAAGACCATTAAAAGCCATATTAATGTGAGAGAATAGAATTTAAGAAAAAAAGTATTAATACAGGTAAAGAGACTCCTAACAATCCAATAAAAATACCCAAGACAATAAAGCCACGTGGAAATAGGTACCTAACAACATAGCTGTTGTTTGGCTACATCCATAATGTTATCCATTATGTTACATGTTACATCCGTAATGCTACATGTTATGGCCAACATCCATAAAGCAAAAAAAAGAAAAGGACCTGAAAAAAAAAATTTTTTTTAAAGATTCTGTTTATTTATTTGACAGAGAGAGAGAGATCACAAGTAGGCAGAGAGGCAGGCGGAAGCAGGCTCCCTGCTGAGCAGAGAGTCTGATGTGGGGCTCGATCCCAGGACCCTGAGATCATGACCTGAGCCGAAGGCAGAGGCCTAACTCACTGAGCCACCCAGGCACCCCTGAAAAAAAAAATTTTTAAAGCAAAATGGACAAGTCCACAATCCTTGTGGGAGATTTTTTTTTTTTTTTTAAAGATTTTATTTATTTACTTATTTGACAGAGACACAGAGAGAAAGCGCACAAGCAGGCAGAGTAGAAGGAGCCTGATCCGGGACTCCATCCCAGAACCTTGGGATCATGACCTGAGCCCGAGGCAGCAGCTTAACCGACTGAGCCACCCAGGCGCCCCCTTATGGGGGATTTTAAGCCAACTGTACCAGAGACTGATACTTGAAGCAGACAGAATCCTTAGTAAGAATGCAAAAGCATTGAAAACCAAATATAAACTTTAATAAATCAAAAGAACACTGCACCTAGGAAATAGGAAATACATATCCCTTTCAAGTATGTTTAGAACATTTCCAAGAACTGACTACATGCTAGATCTCAAAGGAAGTCTTAACCATTTTAACAAACGTATACATACATACGGTCTCCATCCTCACAGCAAGTAAAATAAAAAGCAGCATTAGTTTTTTTTTAATATGCTTGGGAACTTGAGAAAGCGATGCTCTCCTAGATAACCCACAGGCTGAAGAGGAAATCACAATGGAAACTATAAAACATCTTGATCTACATGACAAAAGAATTTACTAAAATCTGTAAAATACTGCTGAAGTGGTCCACTTGTTATACCTTTATTAAAAAAAAAAAAAAAAGTAAGTAAATGAGTTAGGGGCACCTGGGTGGTTCAGTTGGTTAAGCATCTGCCTTCAACTCAGGTCATGTTCTTAGGGTCCTGGGATCAAGCCCTGCATCGCCTCCCTGCTTGTGGGGAGTCTGCTTCTCGCTCTCCCTCTGCACCTCCCCTGCCTGCACTCTCTCTTGCTAACTCTCTCAAATAAATAAAATCTTAAAAAACAAAAAAAGTAAATGAGTTAAGTTCACTTCTTCATTCAAGAAGCCAGAAAAAGAATTCCAAAGAAGAAAATCTAAAGAAAGAAGAAAATAACATTTAAATAGCAAAAATAAAATAGGTCAAAAAATAGTCAAATAGACAAACCTTTAATGAAACTGATAAGAAAAGGCAATATTATGAATGAAAAAGGGAAATGACTTCATATATACGAGCTTTTAAAAGGCATAGAATATTGTAAACAACTATATGGCAGTGAATTTGAAAAATTAGTTTTCTAGAAAAATATGTTGTCAAAATTAACTCAAGAAGACATAGAAAATCTGAATAAATTAGTCATCTTAAAGAGTCTAAATCACTAATCAGGATTCTGGCTTCTCTCAGCTCTGCCAGAAACCCAAGGCCCAGATGGTTTTGCAGATACATTTTATAAATCCTTCAATAAGCCAATAATCCCTATTATATACAAACTGCTTGGGAGTGTAGGAAAAAGAGAGGCCACTACCCAACTCATTTTATGAGATTAATATTACCTTCATAGTAGGTTAATACAAGAAAATAAAATTAGATCAGTTTCACCTAGGAATATAGGAAGATCTTAAAAATATATATGAGTAATGCATTTGCTAGGAACATGGTAAAGAAAGTGTCTACTAAAATCGATTGAAAACAACTGAATGTTAGGTAAAACATAAAAATCAATTTTTGAATGCAACTATGAACTAATAAGAAAGTAAGGAATATGTAGGCCAGGGAATGAGTGAAGGCCGAAGTTAGGGGAAAAATAATATGCTGTCTCTATGAGGATTTAGTAAAGTAGGTAACTGTGAGTATAAGTATTCAAGGCTGGGTCTTCCAAGTGAAGCCCAGGCCCTGGCCAAACTAGTGTGTCTAATAAGAGATCCCATGCTTGCACACGCACGCGCACACACCATACACAGGTCTCCGAAGGGCCACATTGTCAGAGGGATACATCTAGAATGAACTAGAAATAATCCTTCATTATCTGAGAGAAAAACTGCCTGTCTTGGTCCTTGGCAGTGAGCCAAGGTGGGGGTAAATATTCCTTGAGAATTTATAATCAAGCCAGTTTTTATGAGGTTTTCAATCCAAATTCATATTACCTGGGTGATCTAAAAAGCTTGCACCAACAATTTAGTTTAAAGTGGTCCAAGCCTGGTATTATCCCCAGGTATCTGATAGAAGCAAGAATTAAGAATTCCTACACACATAGACCAAGTACCATGCGCAAGATTCAGAGTCATGACAACTTAGAGTGGAATTGTTAGAAACAGAATATAAGAAGTTTAATATGTTTTAAGAAATCAAAGGCCTAAAAATACGAGAAAGAGCAAGTAACTGGGCAATTGATAGAAATAAAAACTAAAAAAACAGATAGGTGGGGTACCTGGATGGCTCAGTGGGTTAAAGCCTCTCCCTTCGGCTCAGGTCATGATCCCAGGGTCCTGGGATTGAGTCCCGCATCTTGTCGGGCTCTCTGCTTGGCAGGGAGCCTGCTTCCTCCTCTCTCTTTGCCTGCCTCTCTGCCTACTTGTGATCTCTGTCTGTCAAATAAATAAATAAAATCTTAAAAAAAAAACAA